CCCTTCTAGCCCTAATGTCTATGAAATCTATGAAATTTTTGGCCTGATAATTTAGTCTACTTGGAAGTGATGGTCTGTGTTGTGTCAGGGTCAAACGTAGTCTTATGTAGAATTTAGATTATGGTTTGGGATGGTTTGGATACGGATGATCCTGCCTCAGGCAAGGGTTGGTGGTCCCTTCTAGCCCCGCTTCTGTATGATTCTAGGATTCAGTGTACTTACGCTCTGGACAGTTGTAAGGGTCTCCTGACAGGGGAATAGTACATTAATGGTGCACAGTAGCCAATCAGCTTTAAACTCACTGCTTCACTTTACTTATTTTGGAGATGGGCTCTCACCCTGTTCCATACAGACAATATAAGGCAGGGTCCGCAGCCAAATGTCAACAAGCGTTGTCTCGGCCCATTAAAAGAAGGGACACTTCTAGGTGGCTTCAGTTCCAAATGAGGAGTTTTGCTTTTCGAAAAAAAAACATTTTCTGTAAGACTGTGCTTTTCATGAAGACTGAAAGGTTCTTTATGATTCCAAATTCCTCAGAAAATAATAGATGCCATTTTGTTTTTTGTTTTTTGTTTTTCTTTAAGGGGTTTATATTTCCAAGTATTCGGACTGTCTTCATCCATGCCCGTGGTATAATGGAAAATCTGGCTATATTGTCATTTGCAAGCTAATTAAGGTAAGACTCAATCGCCTTTCTCATTTTGGGACTGGCTCATCAAGAATTCCTTTCCACAGCAGATAACCCTGAAATGTTTTGAGTAGGGGTGGCATGTCAAAGCATTACCGGACATCGACAGTATCTATAGCTCTTTCAAAGTCCACGATGTGTAGGTTGCATTGCCCAAGGTCCAGGAGCACGGCATCCTGTGAGACGAGGTCAGAGCTCCTTGGTCCCACCTCAGAAGGATGTATATCAGTGGGAGATGTGCCTGCAGAGGGCTTCCCGTCTAGGTACACAGTGTAATATGACCCTGTGGTAGTCTGAAATGTGAACTCTACTCTGGGATGCACCCATAGAGCAGGGATTGGAATAGTGCATGGACCCGCAGCTGAGAACCAAACCACCCCTGTTGCAAATGCTTAGCCCCTGGCTGGGCACACACGCCGGACAGGGTTGCAAGGAGCATGAGTTGCCCTGGTAGCCATCAGGGATGCTGTTCTGGTGGGTATCCCAGTGGCATCCGCTCTGCCCTTCTGTCTCTGTGGCACCATCCTGGCTTTGGGAAGGGGTGGCAGTTCCAACAGATGTAGCAAGGTGGGGAGTGCGGTCAGCCTGATAGGGGCACATGGGAGCATGCCCACCCACTCTGCCTGGCTGTGTTCCCTCTACAGTACCCCCAGGTGCCCCCAAATGCTCCCTACCTGCTCCCCTCCTGCACTGGTTGGGGCAGGGGCTCCTGGCTTGTGCTAATCATGCTCCCATCCCTGTCTCCCTTTCTTGGAGGGACTCCAGCATGCAAACCCCACTGCATTCCTCACCGCTGCTCCAGGAGCTGCATTGAACCTAGCTGCTGGAGCTGGGGATCCTTCCACTGGGGGATTTTGCCCATGGGGAGCTCTCAGCTGTAAGGGTGGACAGCAGTGTTGTTACAGAGTGTGGTTCCCTGGGCTGGAAGGGTTAATGGCAGTGCTAATTTTCCCCTCCCCTTTAATGCATTTGTCACAGGGGAAGATCAAGGCTGTCCCAGAGAACTACACAAGCAATTACACCAACCCGACTCCCAGCTATGACTGCCATGTGGCTAAGAATGGAAGCAGTGTTTCCTTGAAGACAAGTCATTTTCAGGCCTTTGAGCTGAGTCAGGTACAACCATTCACAGGGCCCTGACAACCCTGAGCCCAGGATAGGAGGAAGCACTGAAGGAAGGCTCCACTTAAGCCAGTCCCTCTTTCCCATCTGTTTTTTGTTTTTCCTTCCTTGCCAGTATTACGTGTATGAATGTTCCAGCCACGGTGTTGCTGAACGCCCTAGGCAGATCTGCCCCTACATCATTGTGGCCTTTCAGTACAGTGAACGTCTCTCAATGTCAGCGTTAGATCCCAGCACCACGTAAGCACCTCCTGAATGCAGGGTTCAGTCTCTTCAACTTGCAGGTTTTTTCCATTTACCATTTTTAAACATTCATCTCTTCCTTGTTTTTTTCTTTAGAACTGAACTTGAAAACAAAGGTAAGACAGCCTCCCATTGAGGTAGGTTCTAAAATAAAAAAGTTGCCTTTCTGGATTTGCATTTTCTTTTCATTTCCTCTTCACAACTCTCTCTTTAATTGTATTTGTAGTATTATACTGCCCGTGGAGGGGGCAGCTGTCTATCCAAGGACAGATTTTATGCGACATTGCCCTCAGATCACCATATAGCGCTGTGATTCCAGCACAACTGTAAGTCAGAGCCTGTTTTCTTTTTCTTTGGATACTTGCATAGCAGTAAGGTGGATCATATAAAAGTATGGCTGGAAAAGACCTCCAGAGGTCATCAAATCCACCCCTGTACCTGAAGTAGGAATAGGGAACACGCCTTTTGGGGCTGCACTAAAACCATGATGGTGGCCATCACAGATGCACCTATTGTCAAAGGTTAGCAAATAGGATGATTTCCAACCCCAAGAGGGGGGTTCCACCATGAGCTGAACTGTGTGCAGGACAGTAGGGGATAATAAGGTGAATCTCATGTGGACTATACTCATTGCCTGATATTTCACAATATATGGGCTTGAGGGGGAGCCTGGGAGGGGAGCAGTCACAATCTCCTCTGGGAGGGGTTTCACTTCCTTCTATACCTCACCAATGTAGGACAGGCAGGGGAAAAGAGTAGGCAAGGCCTGGGTTCTCCTGCCCATTGTCCATGGCCTGTCCAGCACAGGTGAGCCGGAGAAGTAAGCTGCGCTGGGAACAGGGTGGGTGGTGTTTTATGCTGTTAGGTTTTTGAATATTGACCCCTCTAAGTTCCTCATAGTTCTCTATTTTTCCAATGGTCAACACAAGTTTGTAACAACACTGATGAAATCAAACTTGTGTCCTACACAAGAGCAGCAGTTCTCAACTGGGGTGTCATGAGATTCTTCTGGGGGTGTCACACATTAGCACTGTGAGGTGTCCAAATGCCTACACATGATTCGCAAGATAAACTCAGAGATTTCAAGCAGGAATCCAGTGTCACAAACATTTTTTACCTTTTGTGGTGTTTCTGAGTTCTTTGCAATAGAAAAATTGCTCATCTGGGGGGACTTTTCCCCCTTTATAGTAAAAAAAAGAAATGAGTAAGCTGGCATTTTGTAAGTTTAAAAAGGTTGAAAACCATTTACTGCACTAGAGTGATGGTGAATGAGACATCAAATATGTAAAGAAACGTAACAATTCATATGTGGTCAAAATTGACTTGCTTTGAAGACTTTAGCAAGTTTAAAGGGTTATTAGTTTGTCTTGTGATTGGAATCAACTCACTATCTCTTCTGGGGGTCAAAAAGGACTTTTTCCCTTCAGATTTATGTTGAGGGGTGTACGTTGCTCTCCTGACCGGAGTAGTTCTCTATTATTCAGCTATACAGAAATCTCCTAAGCTCAGATTCAGTGTTTGAGCTAAAATGGAAAGCACTGGACACATGCCTTTGGTCTTCACTGCTTTTACTCTTTTTCTGTAATAGGCCACCCAGACTGGAAATCAAATGTGTCATGGGCCTCTCTGATTTGAAAACAAAGCTACCAGAAGCTGCATTCAGGAAAAGTAATTACACAGAAAATGAAGGTATGTGTTCATATCACTCGCATGGAGTAATGTATTGTTATTTCATTGTTCTCCATGGTGTGATGTTTCTTTGAAACGGTCTGTTTTAGGGCTGGTCCTGTGAAACAGGGTAGTACAAGATGCTTCTTGATAATCCAGGTGCAGTCTGGCAAGGATACCATGTACCCTCAACTTTCACTGAGTTTGGGGATCACTGAGCTTAGTACACCCTACATGAGTCACTCAGTCGTGAACCAACAAATGCAAACTGGCAGCCAAAGTGTAGGCTGTTTATACAATACAGCAGGCTTTAGTAAACCCAGACAGAAGAGTCTGCTGGGAGCTGTGTCCAGTTTTTTTGCTGGAGGAAGAATAACAGTGGCTCTGGGCCTTATAGTTTCATAGTTTCTAGGGTCAGAAGAGACCTGAGTAGATCATCGAGTCCAACCCCCTGCCATGGCAGGAAAGAGTACTGAGGTCAAACGACCCCAGCAAGGTGTTCATCCAGCCTCCTCTTAAAGACCCCCAGGGTAGGAGCCAGCACCACTTCTCTTGGAAGTTGGTTCCAGATCCTAGCCACCCTGACCGTGAAGTAGCACCTCCTGATCTGTAACCTAAATCTACCCTCTGCCAGCTTGTGACCGTTATTCCTGGTAGTGCTCGGGGGAACAGGGACTTCCCCAGTGCCTGCTGGTCCCCTCTGACTAGTTTGTAACAGGCCACTAGATCCCCCCTCAGCCTTCTCTTGTGGAGGCTGAACAGGTTCAGGTCCCATAGCCTCTCCTCATAAGGCCT